TGATTTACTCTCTGTGTCCTTGATGTATATCAGGGGTATTGAATTAAAAATCACCAAGGTCCTGGCAGTAAAATATGCATGCATCAGAGATCCAAATCTCATGTAGGCCCCTGTGGTATATTTTCATTTGTGCCAAACCACGTGTTGCTGCGGTGAGATTGTGAAAACAAAAAAAAAGGTTGGGGACTTCTTCAGGTTTCTAGCAGGTATTGTTAACCTACCCACAACGTGTGCACCAAATGCACATGTACAGATCTGAACCTGTTCTTACATCAGTGTCCTCAATCCCCACTGTACATCACAGTCCCCTCCTTGTTTGTTCACAGTAAGATCCCTCTTGATGAGTGTCCTCATCTTCCTTGACATCAACCCCCCCCCCAACAGTACTGTCCTCTGCCCCCTTCACTGAAGTGTACTCGGCCCCTTTTTAAATCATCCCCCCACATTACTGTCCCCAGATCCCCCCATATTACTGTCCTCAGCCCCCACATTACAGTTCTCAGCCCCTCCCGCTTTAATATCAACCCCCACACACCACAGTCCTAAGCCCCCCACATTACTGTACTCAGCCCCCCCCCCCCCACATTCAGTCCTCGGCCCCCCTTCACACTAATGTCCTTAGCCCCTTTAACTTCACCCCCCCCCCACAGACAGTGATTGACAGTGGTTGATTGCTAGGACTGCCCTTCATCCTAGCAACCAATCACCTGCTTGTTAACCTCGGCCAGCTCCCACCCTCCATCCAGAACTGTGCTGCCTCCCGCTGTCAGCTCTGTGAGGATGACCGCGAGACAGCTGAGGGAAGAAAAGGCTCCTAAATGGCAGGACTGCATGGGTCCAGATGGGACAGTGACTCGGTCCGCATCCAGACCCAGGTCCACCATTTAGTGATGCCTGATGTATATGATCTTTTATCTGTTTATATGTTCATCTTCAATGACAATAAAAATATTGAAACAGAAAAGTGATCATTTCACATTTTATCCTTCTACAAATTAAAAGAACACATCTCAGTGTTATCTGATGCGACCGGAACACCTGTGCAACTCAACCAGTAGCCTGTATGAAAGAGCCCTTAAGGATTTGTGCTGGCTGTGGGTCCTGTTCTAGTGGGAGGTGCCAGACTCCGCCTCAAGTGTTGTCATGTGTTCAGCCATCTACATGAGCCCTAAATAATTAATTTTGCTGACTTTGGTGCGTCCTTGAGGCAACAGGCCCTAGCATTTCATAGTTTACCTATGCCTTGAGTCAGCTTTCTCTCCAGACCACCATGTCTAACAAATGTACTACAGTGTGACAGTTAGCTTCCAGCCCTGTACAAATGATGAATTTCACACAGCAGTTACAATGTCTTCTATTATCTGAGACTTAGTAACGAATGTGCTGGTATAGACTACATGTACTCCGAGCAGGCTGTATAGAGCAGCTCAGGCCTGTGCAGCCAGGCTCAGCTCCAGCTCTCACACAGAGTGGGCCACTCAGACTGCAGCGTGACGCAGCCGGCGAGGGCAGGGCCTAATTCTTGTATGTGTCACTTCGCGCCGGATCTTGACGCGGCCGCCCGGCCCAACCTCGGAGCTCGTCCATTGTAAAGTCTGTCCCCGCCCAGCATAAAAGCGGAAGCGGAGGGGCCGCTCAGGGAGAAGCTTCTGTTGTCCCCGCCTTCCCGGGCTGCCGCAGTGAAATTGGGCGCGTTTGCGCAGTGACGTTCCTTTTTTTTGTTGGAAGGTAAGGAAGGGTTAGCATGGCGCCCGGGTCCCCCCCCTCCCGTAAGCGATGGTTTTACGTGACAGGCAGCGGACGTGGCTGGTTCGCGCGGAGGCATGGCGCGGGGAAGCCGGCGGAGGGAGGAGGAGGCTGGCGGCGATAGCAGGACAGGGTGAGGCCGGCACGGGCGGGACTCGGGGCCTCCATCTGGTGTACAGCGCGAGGCCTGTGCGCATGCCATGGTGCCGAGCGTGAGGTGAGACTGGCGGGTGGGGGAGGGGAGGTGTTCGCGGCAGTGGCCGTCTCCATCTCCGGACTGAGCTCGGCGTGCGGGCGCCATGTCGCGGCGGGCCTATGGGGAGCGCACAGTCATTGAGCCTGGCTGGGGGGAGGGGAGCGTAGCCAGACCGCCAAGACAGGGCGATGCCGGCTCCTGCGCAGCTTGCCGTAAAGGGCTCAGCCATGGGGTGGACACGTGGTGCCGGGCGGGGGGCTTTGTGTCACCATTGTCTTGCCACATGGACGGCGGATCACACATTGATGGGATCAGTACGGGGCAGCACTGCCAGCCTTCATCTACCTATGTGAGCGGCCAGGAGCACAGCTGTCATCTGCCTGGGGCTTCTCACAAGGGCCGATCTCCTACATTACTGCTGACATCTCCGCACCGATCATCATTGGGCCAGGCCTGGATGACTCTCCTATTGGAACACTGCTCCTGTGTCTGGCTGCTCACATACCCATTGTGACCAGTGCTGGCCCTTTATTCTACTGAACTTTGTGTGTTTGGATACCGCAGGGAGTAGAACTGAAGGCCAAACAATTGTTTTAATAGTGGAGATTGATCAGAGCACATATTAGACTTGTGTTGATGTCTGTGTCCCCATTAGGGAGGTTCAACTTCTGTCTTGTTTACTATTATCATTGAAAAGGTAAAATGAAAGTATCAGCTTTTGGTTTGTCCATAGAAAAGTAATGGAGGGGAAAGTTTTGAGTGGGGACAATAGTACCCTGTTCCCACCTAAGGGATTCTCTAGCTTTGGAGGACTTTCTTCTCCTCTTGTTATATTGTCTATGGGACTGGAAGTGAAGATAAATCTAAGTGGGACATAGATGGCAAAAAATAGGGGTTATAACCTTTGTCTATTCTATCCAAAATGGGAACCGGTTTTGCCTAGAGCTACTTTAGGGGCTTGAAAAATGTATTTTCAAGCTGTTTTTTTGTGAAACTTCGCTCTGTTAACATTGACTGTCTTTAATCCTAATGCTGCCAGCGTTGGTACATAGGAAAGTATATTCTATTAAACTTTTTTTACATTTCCTTAGTTACTTCCTGGTTTTTATGTCTGTGCAAATGTCATAAATCCCAGGAGTTATTTTCTTGGCTTAGCACACCCTTGTGCCTGAGTTAAGGACAGATGGATTCCAGGAAGTAAGCGCTTCATGAATCCTCTGCCCTTACTCAAAATGGCCACACCCAGGAATGCTAGGGGGTGGTTTTCAGAGTGATGTCTTAGTAAAATAAGTCATGGATGGGTGAGTTTGCCTTGTGTATTAGACATTAAACGGTGTGTGGGTTTTTTTTTTTGTGGGGCTCCAATTCAGTGGGATTCTGCTTTAAGGATCATCACACAGCTGCATTGTTTTCAGTGGGTGAGTAAACATGCACTGCGTTCAGATTTGTAACACAATCCAAACATCTGCATCTAAGAACATCTGCCAGATGCAGCTATGGGGGGTGGGCAGGAGAGGGTTGTACCACAGTATTTTAGTAGTCCTTACGCAGGAACATTTATACTACAAAAACTGCATAACATCAGTACCATTTTTATGCCCATGTGAATATAACCAGTGTAGATGAATGGCAGTGCTGTAATGGCACAGCAATGCAGGCTACATGCATTAGTGGTGCCATTCATGGTAACTGACTCATCTGAGTGTGCAGGGCTGCGCAGCACATGGAGGGTAATTTACTAAAGCTGGCCATAGGCGGATCAAAATTTGGCCGGTTCAGCAGAGGCCAGTGGAATTTTGATCCATCTATGGCCGTTCCAGAGAAGTTGATCTAATGATTGACTTCTCTCAAATGGGATTATTTCATTAGCGCATGCAGCCAATCACCTTCAGTCTATTCTGACAGCAGAGTAGCCCCTCTATTAGATTACAGTAGAACAGCTGGGGTGATTCCTTAATCTTCCTCAAATGTGTGCATGGGGGAAATCCTGTTTGTTTTTTTTTTTTATTTGTTCAGCTGGCTGGCCAATTTTGTTTTCATGAGCTTTTCTGGACAAGCTGAAGTCAGAATCTGGTTACTGTGCACAGCTGCCCTAGCCTGTCTGCTGTGGTTTTAGTAAATTCCCAACCGGAATATCCTCTGCTGTAACGAATGCCTCATTTGTGTGCACTTGAGCCTATTCATTTTAAAAGGGATTTTTTTTTTCCAAAGAGTACAGGATTTCAAGTGTGCTGTTTTCCTGGCAGGTGTGTAGAGTTGTATCTATCTGAAGGCTGCCACTGAAAGTGTGCATGCTCTTGATTTAGAGTGGAGTAGAAAAGGTACATGAACTGATTATTTTACTGCATCATGTGACTTGACTTCTGAAAGTTGAAGACCTATTTTCCAAAAACCAAGTTTTAGAAAGTTAACTTTATGTAATGATCTTATGCTAGATTTTACACTTGGTTTGCTCCTGCAGATAGGTTTTTCTAAGATGGCACATTCATTGTAAATTGGTTGTAAAGCATGAAATATGTATGGTTTTACAACACAGGTGCTTATCTGTACTTTGTTAAACATAAACCTTGTATACCTTGGCTGCATACCACAAAGTACAGGTCTGAATTCAGTCTTGAATTCCCCATTCTGGGTTGGGAAAAAAACCTTGCATTGAACCCCACAGCACTGTAAGGGTTAAAGGATTGTTGACTTTAGGCAGTAGATGAGGGTTGTAGTACTTTCCTTACACCTCAGTCTGGTGTTCTTGGGCAATCCCCAATATCATACAATGCAGGGCTGTTCTGCATTGTATGTGAGCAGTTAAAGGTGTACCTTAAGTCAGCCATAAATGGATGGAATTTCAGCTAGTTCAGCAGGGTCTGGCTGAGATTTGATCAATCTGTGGGCAGGCTGAGGATCCCAATTTTTTTTTTTTTTTTTTTTTTCCGCTATAAATGCCAACAATGTTTGGGGTTATTCTTTTAACTAGGTCTGTTTTCTGAGGTAATTTTGTAGCTTCTGTACAAGTAAACATGCATTTTCCCTTTCTCCCCAGTACAAGTAGACACCCACCAATATGTCAGATGATATTGATTTCCACACTGGAGATGCCGGGGCTTCTGCCACCTTCCCTATGCAGTGCTCTGCCTTGCGTAAGAACGGGTTTGTGGTTCTGAAATCTCGTCCCTGCAAAATTGTTGAAATGTCAACTTCCAAGACTGGCAAGCACGGTCATGCCAAGGTAAATGTATAATGTAGTCCATGCTTGGTGGGTATAAATTTTAAAATGGTTCTAAAGGCTGAAGCTTTTTTTACCTTAATGCATTCTCTCTGCAGCTGCAAGCCCAGTTTTGATCCAGCAATTTGCACAAGAGCAGGGTTTCCTTGGCTCAGACACAGCAGCAGGAGCCATTTGCTCCTGCTGATATCAAATCACAACCAGTGAGGGTTGCTGGGCCAAGCAACGCTCTGTGAACACGGAGTGGGGCTTTGGTAGCAAGCAAGCATGAGTGCTCCCATAGCAAGCGGCTTGCTACTGGAGACACTCAGCGAGGGGGAGAAGTTGGGAGCACCAGCGGGGGACCCAAGAAGAGAATCAGGGTTGCTCTGTGCTCACTTGCACAGAGCAGGCAAGTATGTCATGTGTTTTTTTAATTTGAGCATTTTACAATGTGACTTTAAAACTATTGAGGTTTCAGTAGTGAACTGGAAGAACATCACTTTTATGGTTACTGTTCTGTGTGTTGCATTTTAAATAACATTTTTGCTGGAATTTGGGGAGTTGCGTAGTTGGCATTCTGTCCAGTGGGAGGTTTTAGCACACCTATAAAGAATAGTAAAGATCAGTCCGTGTAGCAGGAAGCACAGCATACATGTGGGATGAACAAATGGGTTGCTCCAAATAAAGTCAAAACATAGGATTGGTAAAATCCTAACCATTCCAGCCGAATGTAGCTACTTCTAGATAGAACATGGTACACAGATCAGTGATTTTAAAGGCTTATTTAAATAACAAACATGTTATGCTTGACCTGTGCAGCGGTTTTTAACAGAACAGCGCTAGTCGTCTTCTGGGATCCCCCATCAGTGCTCCTGGGTCCCCCCACTGAGTATCCTTAGCATGCCTCTTTCTAGGGGTGCGCTCTTGCAGACTGAATCCCAAGCCAGTGTCTAGAGAAAGTGTGGCTCTGCCTCATCCACCGCATCCTCGTCACTGGATTTGATAGAGCAGAAGTTGGTGGCTCCTGCTTCTCCCACCAGTGAGGTGGGAGAGTGCAGTGCCACTGCTCTCGGGCACAGCGCTGGATTGAGATCAGGCTCAGGTAAGTAATTGGGGGGGGGCGGCAAGGGCAGCATCTAAGATAATTTTAAATTCTTTTTTTTTTTTTCTCAATGCAGAGAATGCATTAAGGTAAAAACCTTTTAGCTTCTACAACCACTTTATGTTGGTTGTAGCAATCAGATTGCACTCTGCACTAATCATGGGACAGTGGTTGCTATAAGATATGTATTATGGTGCTATTGATGGTAGGTGCAGGGCCACTTTCTGTACCCCAGGAGTTTGAATCTTTAGACTATGGCAGTGCTTTGAGGAGAAATCTTGGCACCTTATGGTGGCTACCAACCTGGTGGAGGGAGGGCACAGTTGTCTGTCATTCAGCCCTGCTGCTGGCCGCTTGTTAGACTGATAGCTCCTGTAGCTTGATGGTGCAGCTTGTATGGTGAATGTTTAGCACAGTGTGTCCAGGGACAAATGCCTGGAACTTGGGCTTCTTGCAGTTCTGGCATTCGTTTCTGGATACATACTACCCTAAGTGTACAGCTGAGTGCACTGTCCATCTGCACGAGCTGTCCAAGGCTGCTGGGACTGAACAATTGTATTCTATGTTGGAGCCCCATGCACTGCGACTATACATCCAGTGTGCGTGGGACCTAATTGTCCCTGTTAACACTTGTATGCTCAGTTGCTCCAAACCCTATGCCTAAAGTCCAAAAGCTTTTTTTTTTTTCCTTTTTTTTTTTTTTTTTATGTTCTATTCTTGCACTTATGCCTTTTTGTATTTTGCAGGTTCACCTTGTTGGTATTGATATCTTCACTGGTAAGAAGTATGAAGATATTTGTCCATCCACCCACAACATGGATGTTCCTAATATTAAAAGAAATGACTACCAGGTAATCTTAACCACTTAACTGTCAGAGCTACTTTCTTCCACATTAAAATATTCTGCAAGAATACTCAAATAAAATTGTGGTAGTTGCAAATTTGTCAAATGTGCATCTTTCAGTAAAAATGCAGTTCAGTAATCACACTTTTTACAGGAAAAAGAGGCTGCAACAAGTGGGTGAATACTAACATATCAAGCCTTAAAATTGTGCATGTCCTTACATTGGTGCCTCAAATTGTCCATAGTCATCACTTTAAAAGCTTTTATGGGTTTTGGTTTAAAGTAAATTGTGAATGGCTCTAGATTTATTGCTCACTCAACCATTCATGTTGGTTTGTAACGTGTAGCACAGTTTTCATGTGGCAGCACACTCAGTGTACATTAACGTTAAAATAAACTTGTGCTGTTGTGTAGGAAGCCAGTAGCCTCCTATGTGATAGCATACTGTAATGACAAGTTCTGACCCTCTCTCCTTTCTTCTACTGAAGCTAGTTTAGCTAGAGCAAGATTGTGTTCCATTAGCTTCTTATCCAGCTATAGCAGCTAGAAAAATTGTCAGCTGAACCCACAAGTGATGTAATGCGTATTGCTGCTTTGTTCGCTGGAGGGGAGATCCACAATATTCTGGTCTTCCACCTGCTATGCAGGTCCACAGGTAGGACTGCAGAGCCCAGGATACATGATGGGGCGATGCCTTTGGCGGGCTGTAGAAGTGCTCGGTCTTTCCAGCCAACAAGCCCGTTCACCCACTGAAAAATTGCTGGAACAGCTTAGAATACTGGTCTACCAGCCAGTTTATAAACTGTGCTGGTAGACAAGTGGTTAAAGCGGAACAATACTCATCTCCGCTTCAACGATGCGGTGTCTAGTTCACTGCCCACCTGCTAACCTTTGTGTGGTTGGCTTCCGGGTCTCGATCACTGGCAGCTGCGGGGATGTCATTCACGCATGTATGATAGTTGTCAGATTCGGCATTGCTAACTTTTGCCACTTGGGCACAGCTCACTGTACAGGGGCAGACTAACAGGTAGCTATAATGCAGAAGAAACAAAGCCTGTGTCTTCTGCATTAAAACGCCTAACTCAATTTTGATGCCTTAGCCTAAAGTTCCGAGCTTAGTTTTTGCTTTTCAATAACTTTATTTCTTTTTTTTTTTTTTTTTTTTTTTTTTTTTTTTTTTTTGGGGGGGGGGGTTGTAAAGCCCGAGTGTTTTATGACTTTTCTACTATTCATAATCATCCCTTTTCCCCAACAATTTCATCTACCTGCAAAGCCATTCATTCCTATTTGTATGCCTTATAGTGGAATTCCATCTAAATTCTAACTAAACCTAAATCTACTCCCACCCTCATTCCAAGCCTTTTCGATCTACCCTGTATAAGAGAAGATGCCTATACGTATTCTGAAGCTGCTCTGGTCACATGATTGGGTCGCAGCGCTGGCTTCAGTAATACAGGAGGGACAGCTAACAGATGCCCCATAGTAAACCAATGAGTGACATTATCACCCAGGCTCTGCAGCTGTTGTTGCTGCCTCTTGTGTAGTTGACTTTCATGTTTGCAAAGCTTCCATTTGTGACATCTCGGCCAGTATTTGAAAAGGTAACTTAAAGGAATTCAGTTTGTGGTTTCCAAGAAGTATCTGGTTTAGAGCCTCTTTACAATGTAATGTTTGTGCAAGCTATTGAGGTCTTTCCTATTTTTTGGACTGTTCTTTCCCTTAAAGCATACTCTTTTTCTTTTTTTTTTTCTGTAGTTACACTATTCAATTCAGTCATTCCCCTATCCCTGAACTAGAAGCATAGCTGTCAAGGCCACATGGCTACTGTCCTTTTCCTAGTTACGAGGTTAGGTTTGTACTTTTTGGCATACAGTACATACTCCACATAGGATTGAATAGTGTGTGCAGTGCATGCACTGTAATTGAGTTGGCGAGTACAAGGCTTAGCAGGCACTGGGGCAGCCAGCATTGGGTCAGTCCTGGAATTCATCTTTTGGTGTTGCCCAGCTGGATTTGGTCCACTGATCTGATCTAAACCCTCATATGAAGGGGAAAAACATATAAACCTTTTCCTTTTTTTTTTTTTTTTTTTTTTTTAAGGCAAACTCCACCTATAGCTACATGCTAGACCAGGGGTGGGCAAACTTTTTGACTTGAGGGCCGCAATGGGTTCATATATTGGACCCGGGGGCCGGACCAAGAGTAGATGAATGATGTGTATGTGTCATCCATAGTAAGTATAGTAATATTCCCCCATAGTAAGCATAGTAATTCATCCCTCATATTAATTCGTCCCTCATAGTATTTCATCCCCCATAGTACTATTCCCCCCCAAGTAGTAAGCAAAGTCCCCCCTGTGTCAATTTACTTACCTTTGCTCTGCGCGTTCCTCTCGCCGTGTTCCCGCGCTGTTCCGGTCTTCAGGGCGGACTGTGAGAGGAGCCTAGCTCCCCTCACGTTCGTCACGCTGCCCCGCCTACACACATCCTGACAGCCAATGTATCACGCTCTGCGGGCCGGATTAAAAGGTCCGCCGGGCCGTAGTTTGCCCATTGCTGTGCTAGACCCATATTTTGGGTGTAACATGTTGCCAAGCTCTCCTCCTGCTGTTACTGTCACTTTTAAAATCTGCTGCTGTGCATGGCTCTGCTAGTACAGCTGCTTCATTCAGTGATCTGTGAATTAAAGTCTTGTCTGCCACTGAGAGATGGACTTGTATTCAGAGGAACTTGAGTGTGGTAACTGGCAAAGGATGCGTTGCAGGAGCCTAATATGCACATGTGATCCACTGATTGGGGGTGCAATGCTTAGTAGGCTCCTATGGAAAAAGTAAATGCATTTTTCCTTCCAAAAACCTTTTTTTTTTTTTTTTTTTTTTTTTTTTTTTTTTTTTCCCCTGGTATCCTTTTTAGGGCTTGTGTACAACAGGTGCATTTTAAATGCTGTTTGAATGCTCAGTGATCCTAGTGTACACTAGTGCAGTGCTTTCATGTGCATTTTTTAAAGGTTAGAATGCTGCATTTTTTTCACACTTTACAGTACCTGAATGTAAATACATGGCAGTATATCACAAATTATATTTTCCTTAGGGGGCTAGATTGAAGAAAAGGACCTCCAAAGTGCTATTCTCAGAACTACTGCCTATACATCGAGCCATGCTAGAGGCAGCAGGAGCTAAGAGAACTTAACAAGAGGCTGAGGAATTGGTGCAGGAAGGAAGGTTTTGGGTTCCTAGAGAACTGGGCGGACTTTAGTCAGTTACCGGCATTATAGTAGGGATGGACTTCACCATGGGGATGGCGCAGCTTTTTTGGGGGAGGAGATGACCAAAACGTTTGAGGGGCTGGCTTTATTGCTCTGCCTACCTTGCTCATGTACTTGACTATGTTCTACATATCTGTACCTTATTGGTATGAATATTACAGATGTGCCTTTTTATGTTGTACCTTATGCTGTTAAGCTGTTTTTGTGGTACGTTTCTTAATAAATAAAAGCTCTTGTGTAAAAAAAAAAAAAAAAAAAAAAAAAAGTTAGGAGCTTTTAAACCCAGGTTGCAGGGGAGAAGATCAAGGAAACGTTAGCTTTGAGCACAGGTCGGGGGAGATATAACCAGAATACCTAAGCAATGGGAAAGTGGGTTGGGAGAACAATATTAATCACAGAACTAAGAAGGAAATGTGCCTGTACAAAACTGGGAGGCATGTATACAAATGCCAGGAGCCTAGCGAACAAAATGGAGTAACTGGAGCTACTGATACATGATTGCGACTTCCTGGGAATATTAAAAACGGTTTGACAACTCTCGATGTATTCGTTGGAGGGATGGGGAGGGTAGAAGGGGGAAAGGTGGGTCTGTATATTAGGAACATTTACTGGTGAATGTGAGGAATGACATTGCAAATGGGCAAGGGGGGAGGTGGAGCTTCAAAGAGCAGAAACGAGGGAAACTAATGGTGGGAGGAATGCTACAGGCCCCCTAACAGTCATGAAGATGAAATAATGCATTGCTAGACCTATTACAAATATAGAAATAAGGGACAACTTGGGAACCAGTCATCACAGGATAACTACATTCAGCATAAATCATAGAAAAAAGGAGGCATATAGGTAGTGCAAGAACACTAGACTTCAAAAGAGCCAACTTTTCTAAACTGTGCTTAATACAAGATATTGAATGGGACCATATCCTAGGAACATTTTAACACTGAGGAAAAATGGGAGTACTTTAGCAACATATTAAATAAGTGGTATCATCCAGTGTATTCAAATGGGCAACAAATATAAAAAAGGTGGTAAACATGGGTGGCTAAACTTTAATGTGAAAATATATTTTTAAAGGCCCTTTTTTCCCTCTTTAATATGTAAGGCAGAGGGGTCACTGTTGGCATTTTAACACAAGGAATACAAGAAATGTAAGAATGCAGTTAGGGTGACTAAGACCAAGAGATGCATAGCAGAGAGTAAAAAAAAATCCACCTTCACTACATATATTTAAAAAAAAGCACATATTTGCCTCTTTAAGAATGAAAGTTGGTTATAAAGGCAACTGTACTAAATGCATTCTTTTCAGTTTTTACAAAGGGAAATAAGGGGTATAGTAATTAAGAGTGTATCATTAGTACCGCATCACAGAATGTACCCTTAAGGCTTACAGATAGCCAGTGTCTGAAGGACTTGAAAAGCTTAATGCAAAGAGATCACCAGGACCAGATGGCTCACACAGAGTTCTCAAAGAACTATCGGGACATAGTCGGACCTAATTTTTACTGACAGGAATGGTACTAACGGGTTGGCAGAGGGGCCAACGTACCAATATTTTAAAGTGTGCCGCTATAACCTGGAAACTACAGGCCAGTCAGTCTAACATCGATATTATATAAACTACTGGAGGGGATAAGGGGTTATATCCAAGATTTTGCTGATTAATAAAGTATCATTAGTAGTGAACGGCATGGCTTTAATAAAGGTCGTTCTTGCCAAACCAACCTGTTGATAATCTGAGGAAGT